AACGTCGTACAAGGCAGTTGCTCGCCACGTGCACGTACCATGCGGGCAATTGCTGCAGCGGAGTTGGAAAGCTGCATGAGTGTGCTTGCGCTGCACTGGTGTGGCTGCAACCTGCAACAGCTCTCCGCGAACGCGGTGCTTTGCTGCAATGGACGTATTAATGGGTTTTTCCACCGCAGCACAGCTGAGGTCGCCCGAACTGAACCGGATTGACGGACATAGCAACTTCTTTGCCTGACTGATTTGGCCTCCTGCTGCACCGGCTGCTGCGGGACGCTTCAGAACTCTTGGAGCTTGCACAGGCGCGTCTGAAGAAGGCACCAGACGGGCTTGCTGGGCGGAACGGGAAGCGGCGATGCGGCACGCTTCCGTTTGTTGCCTGGGCCTGCAGGGCCCCCTTTTTCAGCTGTGTTTTTGGAAAGGCGCGCATCTGCACGTTTTCCAGCTCCGTCCATGGCAGGCATTGCTTCATCAAGCAAATCACCGGCCGGCGCGCCTGCAGCCGTCACGTCTAAAAGGCAGACGGCTATGACGGCCAAATCCTGCAAGGATTCCAGTTTGTGTTGGACAGCTCAACCCCGGAATCTTCATCTACGTGCTAAGTGAAGCAGGGGAGGAGGTGAGTGCTCGTGAAAGCGAAAGGCCTGGGCCATACAGTGCAGTTCTGAGCCGGACATGGGTGGCTCGATGGTGAGCCAATGCAACTCACCAGCACGCCGCATCATCAGCGGTAGTGGCATCTGCAGAGCTCCTGCAAGCACTCCAATTTGTCCAACGTGTTGGGCAGCTCAACCCCGGAATCTTCATCCAGTGAGTGCTCGTGGAAGAGAAAGGCCTGGGCCATAGCGTGCAGTTCTGAGCCGGACATGGGTGGCTCGATGGTGAACCAATGCAGCTCACCAGCACACCGCAGCATCAAGGGCAGTGACATCCGCATTGGCGACGGCGCCGTGGACAGGTCCACAGAAGGACAGTTGCCGCCCTCCGCTGCGGGAATTTCATCCGCTAATGCACCTGTACACATCACATCGGCCAAGCCTACGGCTATGACCCCGAGCTCCTGCAAGCACTCCAATTTGTCCTCCGTGTTGGGCAGCAGCTCAACCCCGGAATCTTCATCTACGTGCTAAGTGAAGCAGGAGAGGAGGTGAATGCTCGTGAAAGCGAAAGGCCTGGGCCATACAGCGCAGTTCTGAGCCGGATACCGGCGGGTCCATAGTATGCCAGTGCAGCTCACCCCTCCAACGCATAATGATGGGCATGGCTGAAGTTGGAGGGTCGCTCTGCGATGACAGGGGTGAGGGCCAATGATACGACTGGCTTGCTGTGCTAGAAAACACTAGAAGGTCAAGTGCATGCTGCAACGCATTTTTGAAACTGTCAGTGTTTCTCATTGCAGCGAGCCGTGCAGCAGGATACGGGATTGGCATCGAGGACAGAGTCTGGATTTGCCAGATTCGTGCGCTCAGCCCATCAAAGTCAATGCTAACACCAGGGCGAGCAGGCATCCGGGCTGTAGCATGTGACAGCAGCCGAAAGCTCTGCTGGCCCAAAACCCTATTCTATACGGCCCCTGCACTACCTCCTGCTTTGAGCCCAAAGCTTCAAATCTCTTCAGCCCTCTCCTCGAAAGCTCCTGAAACCCGCAAGAAAGCAGATAAGAATGGGCTGAAAAGGCTTACCATTATGACGCCTGCTGTTAAGGGTTTAGTAAGGTGGCCTTACGAAGTATAACAGGGTGTCAAATAGGATATTGAAAATTTTGTGGTAATAGGTTTACAAGGAAGCCCTCCGCAAGCATCACTAAGGACACAGGCTTGACAACTCAGCCCTTGCACGGTCGAAGGCTTGCGGTTTACGGTTCAAGATCCCTATACCCCCCAGTTTACTGCCACTGATGCCATAAACCCTAAACCCTAAACCAGCAAGTGCTAGGACTTCTCTGGCCTCACGGCCACCGGACCATGGGCTACCGGGAGGTGCCTAGGCAATGCTGGGCTGCTGGTTTGAAAACCTTTCTAAGAATAATGAGAACCATCATAATAAGAAAAGAAGAAGAGCCATTATCATCACAATCTTAAAGGGAATGCTCCTGAACATATCAACTAAATAGTCGTAAATACTAATAATAGTAATTCCGCTGGGGGTTCGGGGCTTTAGGATCTTGCGATACGCTCCGATTGGACCCACCGAAGCAGCGCCAAACAACTGAGGACTGACGCTTGCCACGATGTTTAGGGTTGAGGTTTAGGGTTTAGGGGTGTTGAGCGTTCAGGTTTCTGCAAAAAAAGGTGCAATGAGACTTTGACTCCTTCAGAAGCGTCTGTCTCTCAGTCAGGGTTCAGGCTCTAAAGCTACTGAGAATACGGACCGACAAACAAAGGTAGCTTTGCCTCCTTTGTCTGCCAAAGACACAAAGCACGTGGCACTAAACGTTTCTGAAGGGAGGGCTACTTTCCAAACTGTTCATCTTCCAGCTTGGTATTGTTGGCTCCTGCAGGCACGCCTTACCCTAAACCCTAAACCCTGGCTTGGGACATCTTGAACCCTTGTTGCAGGTGGCCGAGCAATCTTATCTCGAAGGTCGTCTTTGTCTGGTGGTCTTTTCCGATCTGGTTGACTAGGCCTAGGCTATGATTGAGTGGCGCTGCAACAAAATAGGGCCGGGAAGATCATGATGGTGCGCGAACAGTTGCTTGCCGGCTCCCCTGTCTTGCGGATGACGCCCCGGAGTTCAAAGAAGCCATCGAAAACGGACCCAAACAGTCTGAGAGCGATGCATCGACGATGGTGTAGCTCGGTGGATTGAACTGGAAGAGCTCCCCAGACACGTTTCCCCTGCGTCGGCGCTGCAACATGTAGAGTCCTTCCGTCTGCGACACAAGCAACATATCACGAGAACCTATGTTTGCATACGCGAAGGCCTACCTACCTATCTACCTCCCCGCTGCCTGCCTGCCCAACCCACCTGGCTAGCTAGCTAGCGAGCTAGTTACCTACCTCCCTCCTTCCCTGCATGCATGCATGCATGCACAGAACTACATACATACACACGTACAAACATGTAGCATACTTGTCCACAGACGTTTGTGTGATTTATCTATGAACTTGCCTGCTCGCTTTCCAAGCTGCAAGGTGTTCATTCCTGTTAACCACAAAGTTGGTGGATAATGGTAACATTCGGGCGGTTGATCCTAAGCACCGGTGCCCACCGTCCCACCTTTTGCTTTGGATGAAAATTTCTTGGCTACGACTTCTCGAAACATGGACCGACATTTTTGCATACCCTAAACCCCGAAACTTTAGTATAAACTTTAGTAGTGCGGAAGTCTAGGAAGTTGACGCGACGGCCATGCAAACCGCTAAAGAACTGTGCGAAATCTGCGCAGAAATCTCCATCTAGACAGTGACAAAGAAGATTACATGACGAGGGTCACATCAAACGGGTTCCGTCATCTGCCACAAGGCGTCGATTCCCTTCAAGCTACGCTTTGTTTGAACGTGCAATGGGGTCACAATCGACCCCTTGGAGCCGGAAAAGCGGATGTCGATGAACACTACACCGCAAACCCGGGTTCAAAAATGTGCAGCTCCCTCTTTTGGCCATAATGTGTGTCTCTGCATACAGGTTTCTGCATAATATGGGGGCCTTAATACTTAGAATAAGGTTTTGCGCTGGAGTGGAGTTCGAGATGAGCAGTCCCTGGCGGCATTGTCACCATCCGATTGTGGAAAGTCTCCGAAGCAGTCCCTGTAGATCCGAAGCCCTGAGCAAACCCACCAAAAGGTGCACCATGCATCTTTTTAGGCAGTCGCAGTTCGACACGCGGCAGGCCATCTGGGATTCTCTCAACATCAGAGCATTGCACCTGTATAATACTATATTGCATCACACCACATTGCACTACAGCGCAAAAAGATATGTTTGCTTTAATCTATTGTTGCATTTGGTCTCTCTCCTCCTCCGTCTCCGGCTGTTACGATAACGATCGTTGACTGCACGGGGCCTCCCTGAGTGCGGGCTCTTCTTAAGCAGGCCTCTCCCTGTAAACAGGTGCCTCCACAATAACCCTTCAACCGAGATTTAAACCTGGAGCTTAGGATTAAGAGGGTTTAGGGCTTTAGGGTTGGGTTTTCCTTTTAAGTTCAGGGTCTCTAAAGCCCCATGCGTTGAGACTTCCCAGCTGCGCCGCGAGGCTAAATATGGAGACGCCACAGGCAGGCTTCTTGCCCCAAGTTGCGGGGCTCGAGGGCCTGCCCGTTCTGAACTAGTATTTACAACCTCCTGAATAAACCCGAGACCCTAAGCTCTAGTCTCATTGTGCTGCATCGTGAGTTAGTTTGGGGATCAGGACCAGTGCCGCGAAAACAGAACCTGCCGGATCTCTTGCAAGATTGCTAATGCCTAAACCACTAAACCCTACAACCCAAACCCTGTCGATTGTCAGCAGCCTTACAGAAGTGAATGCCAGACTAATTACGTGTACCTACACTTCCGAAACTACTGCCATCCTGATTATGATGGAAGTTTGTTTACAAGGTTGTACTTACTAACAGCTTGGTAATTGCTTACGCCCGTCTCGGTGGCGCTGCTCTCTCTCTTGTGTCTGAAACCCTAGCAAGCCACACCCTAAAATCCGGAAGCCCAACAACCTAATGCCCTGTATACCCCCTAAACCGATCCACTCTGGAAGTATGCGGAAGGCCGGCTAGAATCTGAGCGGTCGGACATCTTGGGTGCTGCCGGCTTTTAAGGGTTTAGGGCTTTGGGGCTTAGTTCGGGTTACAGTAGGGGTTTAGGGATTTGGGGTTCAGTTCGGGTTCAGGGGTTTAGGGTTTCGGGACTCCAGGCTTCATGGCTTGGGAGCTCAAGTCAGTGATCTGACAGTCTCAGAAACCAAAGAAGCTGAATGTAGACACCAGGGGTATGAAGATACCCTAGAAGGGGCACCATGTTTTTGAAGAACACCCTGTCAAACCTTTCTGTTAGCGATCCAAGGTCAAAACGCAATGGTATCGCTTACGACGCTGCCATGTGAGAGGCGAACGGTGCGGTCACAGACGGACACCAAGTCGTCCTGGTGCGTGACCTGAGCTTACGTTGGCTTCGATTAGCGCTTACATCAGGGTTGCATAAGGTTCCCCTGCTGACAGTCCGGAGGCAATTTTGCTTGCAACGGCAGGGTTTGGCTTTTGAGCTTACCCAGCTGTGAGAGCGCCACATGAGCCGGGAGGCCAAGAGTGTGGTAGCGTTGATGTCCCGGAACTTCTTGACCAAATGTGTGACGGTGCCTTGGCTCAGAATCGAGGAGAAGCTGCTATGTTGCTGGCTCATCGTGCATGAAACACAACACTTAAACAGCTCCCGTACGACACAGCGACAATGTTGATCAAAGCAGCTGATTAGGGATGTGCGGTTCTGCACTGCCACACAAACAAGCCCCAGCTTTTTGGGCCTGAAACCTGTTTCGCCGGGAGCTCCGAACTTGACAGTATGCATTAAACTGCCGATCCGCTCGCAATTGACGGTGCCCACCACCGACACCGCTAATACTGTCGCACATCGACAACAACAATGAGAATGCCTTCGACATTGTCTTCAAACAAAGGAGCAGCAACAGCAACCAAGACCAACAATAATAACAACTACAGGAACAACAACAAACATGCATCATAATTGTCACTACGGCGACGACTAACACTGCCACCACTACCAGCACTACTCCCCTACTTTACTACTCCTGCTGCTGCTACTGCCAGACCTACCTACACATAATGATTCCGTGTGATTACTTGTGGCTGCATGCAAAATGAAGGGGAGCAGCTGAGGGCGAGCTCTCCTGGCAAAGCGGCAGTGACCTTTGTCAGCAGCGCGACACCCGACACCAAGGGTTTAGGATCTAGGGCCTACCCCTACTAACATGTAACCCACCGACGCAGGCTTTTGAGAAAGAGAAGTGGTCTGCAAGACTCTGCCTTCGGTCACATGTTTGTGATGTGGTTGGAGCTGTGTAAACCAGCAAAGGTCGTCGGTGATGTTTTCACTTTGCGTTAAGGTTGGGGTGATTGACTTTGGAAGTATTGGCATGTCTTCGGTCGTTGCTGTTCTGGCTAAAAAGCAGAAAACACCAACGGCTACCTACCTTGGATCTGCTTGTCTTTGCATGTACAGAGAAGCCCTCACATGGGGACCAGGGATCTTATCTGGAGTGTCGGCTGGATGCCCAAATCAGCGAGGCTTCGTGGTACATCTAAGACTCATCAGACCGACCTGGGCAAGACAAAAACGTAGCAATCTTCAACGAAACCCTCCTCCGCCAAACTTTCCAAGTTCACACGACGCGAAACAGCACAGCCGCAAGAGTTCCCTGATGCATTTCCCCCCCACCCCCCCTCTGCACCTCGTCCAACAAAGCCACCTGAAGCTGCGTCACCCGCTTTAGGGCTCGGCGTTTTAGATATGGACTTGCCGGAGGCTTTATGGGGCATGGCTCAGGCTCTTGAGGTACATCGGGGCTAGGCATCACATCCCTGCGAGCTCTCCCAAGGTCTATCACAATCCCCAAGAGCCAGAGCACTAGAAGCTAATCCTTGAAAGAAGTTTCGCTTCTGCCTGCCTAATTCGCACTGACATCGGAAATCACATAGGATTCTTTAGGGGTTCGCTTCGGGGTCTGGGGGTTTACGTCTCGTCGTAATCTCAACTTCACTTCCACCATCTCCGAAGCATAGGCCCCTGAACCCTAAACCAGTAACGACAGTCTGGGACCGCCCAAAAAAGTACCTGTTCAAACCCGCCGAGGGTTGCGGCTCTTTAGGGCCTAAGTAATGACGGGTTCCTCTCTTGAATCCTTTCCAGGAGGAACACCTCCTATTCCGATACCTCTCCACAATGCTGATATCTTTATCTACTCAGCTGGAGCAATGCTCATGCTGTTGACTGCGGAATATTCTTTCAATGATCCAGTCGTCAGTGTCCTGAACATTTCTGCAGGCCTCGCATTCGCGGTCCCCTTCATGTTGTACTGTACTTCTGACATCAGTTTGCAAGAGCTCTTTGTCTGCAGGACACTTGCAACGATCGAAATGGTGATGATGATGGTCTCGATCTATATCCCTAAACCGTAAACCCTTAACCTTAACGTTGATGTCTTATGTCTAGGCGCCTTTGGCGAACGCAGCAGCGCTCGAGCCGCACAGAGGAGCTGGCGTTGGCCCAGGGACAATGCCAAGGCTCCTTTCAACTAAGGCTTTTGAAGAGTGCACTGCACACAGCATAAACCCCGAAGCCCTAATATATTATACTACATTGATAACAAGGACCACCCCCCCTTCCCCCCCCAAAAAAAAATATAGGTAATACCCTGAAGCCTAATATATTATACTATATCTATAGCAATAAGGAACCCCCGAAAATAGCGTAGGTAATTATCTTAGGCCCCTACGTTACACCCTTCACGACGAACCCTGAAGCCTGAACTACGATCCGAGACCCTATAAACAGAACTAAGCCCTCTAAACCCTAAGCTCAGCAACTCTAAGCCCTAATGTAGGGGCCTTAACAATTACCTCTACTACCTTGGGGGTTCCTTATTATATAATTACGGTAGGATATACCCCAAACCCTATTCTAACTATTAAGGCCCCTATACTACAAGCAAACCGACCTAATCTCGCTGCGCGCCTGAACCCGTCTGGCTGCCGCTCATGGAGCCCTGCACATCGGCTTTCCTTGCGTGTCGGTGCTCCGAGCCCCGAAAGGGCTCGATGATGAAGGTATCTGTATGGGTAGTTCTCTACATTAGGGTCCCCTTTAGGGTCCTTTTTACAAGGGTGCCGTACTATAATGGGGACCTAAAGAGGGAACCTAGTTTAGAGAAGTACCATTATAAGGCAGCATACGAGCTCCAGGAGGGCTCTACGAAGGTTTAGGGCTTCGTGTTTAGGGTCTTCGTTAAGGTGCTTAGACTTCAGGGTCTTCTGAGCTCTGGGCCTTGGCCCATGCCTACTACATGAAAACCTCTTGCTACATGGGTACTAACAAAGTTACATGGCGATCTGAGTAGACTTATGAGTACCCTAATAGGGTTCCTAACTTAANNTTAAGTTAGGAACCCTATTAGGGTACCTTGTAAGGACTCGTGAGCCGAGGATTCCGATGCAACGCCGCAGAAGACCCGACATCTCCTCACGTAAGCAGCGGGACACTGAACCAAGGGTTTAGGGTTTAGGGTTTAGGGTTTAGGGTATACACTCTAAACCTTCATTTCTGTGAGAGCCGGAACTTCAACCTCTTCAGCCCCACGCCCTGAAACCCTTCTAAACCCTTCTGAAGCCTTGAGCCTTAAGCCTAATGTAGGGGCCTTAATAATTAGAATAGGGCTTTGGGGGTTCCTTATTGTAGTTATAGTCTAATATACCCCAAAACCCTATTCTAATTATGAAGGCCCTTATACCCCAAAACCTGAAGCCCGAGCATCAATCCCAGTGTGCCACTGCAGCTGCGGAGGAGCCCGACAGTCTTGATGGCATCCTCAGAGGGTTTAGGGTGTAGGGGTTTAGGGGTTTAAGGTTTAGGTTTTAGGGGTTTAGGGGTTTTAGGGTTTAGGGCCAAAGGCTTGTTCTTCTTTCTAGGCCTGAGTGGGTTTCGGGAGCGTATCAAAACCCGGAAAACCCCCACAATAAACCCCTCCAGTAACCCCCCCTAAACCCCAAACCTTAATTATATCCTAAACCCTAAACCTTATACCCTAAACACAACACCTTATACACTAAGCCATCTATGATTACCCCGAGAGCCTCGAACCTTGCGCTCCGAGGCGCCCAGATCTGGGCGTCGGTGAACTGCAGGGCCGGATCCAAGTTCCATCGCAGGGTCCTCTATTGAAAAAGTGATTTTTGTTAGGGTTTAGGGTTTGGATTTTCTAGGGTTTAGGGTTTTGGATTTTTAGGGTTTAGGGTTTAGGGTTTGGGTCCATCGCAGGGTCCTCTTTTTAAAAAAGGCTGTGTTTTAGGTTTAGTTTAGGGAAACACAGGGCTTAACGGGCTTTTTGAAGGAATTATTCTGGGGATCTCACGGTTTAGGATGGCCCTAAACCCTAAACCCTAAACCGTGTTAGGCTTTAGGGATTTTGGATGGTGTCCTGGCTTGCTGGGTGTCTGGGCTGTCGCAGGGTTCAGACTTCACGGCTTCAAGGATTTTTAGGGTTTGAAATAGGCTTTAGGGTTATAGGGTTTAGGGGTTCGGGGTTATAGGGTTTAGGGTTTAGGGCTTTTCAAGCTTCTAGGTTCTAAAGTTTAGGGTAAGTTGAAGGGTTCGGGGTTTTGGGAGTTGCGCTTTTGACTTAGGGGTTTTAGCCTCTTAGAGCTTAGGAGACTGGGGCTTAGCCGCTTGGAGAAGGAGGGGGGAGGCTAATGTAGGGGCCTTAATGGTTAGAATAGGGTCTGGGGTATATTATACCATAATATGAATAAGGAACCCCCCAAAACCCTTTTCTAATTATGAAGGCCCCTACATTAGAGCTTAAAGGAGTCGGGCTTCGGGGTTCAGTAGGGTTCAGTAGGGGGTCTATGTCAGGGTGTGACCTCGCCACCTGCCAAAGAGAACCTCCGTTCCTGGTTTGTTTCCTTCCTACATCTAGCCAGGAACTATCGAAGAATCACAGTACACTCTCGGTTGTCGAAGTCCCGAACCCTAAACCCAAACCCTGAACCTCGCACACCCTGGGCCCTAAAGCACACTCCCAGCAGTGCCGTCCCGGAGAAAAGGACCGGCTGCTGTGGTACGACCGCCACCAAAGTGCCGCAAACCTGCCTGAGCTACTTCACTCCGGGATATAAAGCTATCATTGCCACTGTAAAACCCTAAACCCCCCATTACGACGATGACAGCCACTGCTACTACCACTCCGGGATATACAGCTATCATTGCCACCTGCCACCGTAAACCCTAAACCCCCATTATGACGATGACAGCTACCGCGACTACCACCAGGCCACATTCGGCTCTGGGGCCTAAGGCTCAGAGGGCGGCTGGATGGCACCATGGTAGCTTCTGGTTGCTGATGGACATCACTGTGCGACTGTGCGACTTAAATTGAGGGCAGGGCGGAATTTCTGGTGGGTTGGCTCAGGCGGCTTGGGACTCAGATGCAATTGTTGTTGAATGGTTTTGAGTAAGGGCGCGAGGTTTACGGAGATGTCTCGATCCACATGATGACGGCTTTAGGGCACTTTCGGGACCCAGAACCGCGTCTTTGAAGCGGGGACTACTCCTGAGACCAGCAGCAAACAGTTGGGAACGACTCCACAACGTGTAACTAGACCCTGCAAGCATCGGGCATCTGCCTGTTTACGGTTTAGGGTTTACACACACAGAAGTATATATACATAAAAACACTTTGCAGATACCATAAATACACCAGGCAAGCACAAGTATGATATGGTATGACTGCACACAATTAGTTTATCAAGCAACTACGTTCGTGCCGAGTCGCTGGCAGCTACCTCATGCAGTTCGATGTACAACAGTGCCAGGGAAAGCACACGAACATCTAAGCCCAGAACCTTCATCCCAGAAATTCCCAAACGCCTTACGACCTCAACCCTAGGCCTAACGTTATGCGCGACTCCCTCAAGCCTTCACCCGAAATCTCAAACCACCAAGCCCTAAGCCCCTGAACTCAAAACCAAGCAATGAACCACCACACCCCTCAGGGCTTCCAAGGGACTCGCTGAGACCACGAAGAGGCTGACCATCCACGCAGATGGAACCCGTGTAAGGCGCCAGCCTCGGATGATGGGAGCCCTTCGGGTTTTGATCTTGGAGTTTTGCCGAGAGGTTTCATACAGGAGTTTTTGAGGTTCTTGGAGTTTTGGGCATTCCAAAAAAAGAGCTTACAGGGGTTAGGAGTTTATGCAGGGGCCCGAAAAGCTCTGGGGCTTAACATTTCGGTTGGGGGAGTTTCGGGGTTGAATGTGTGATCGAGGCGAAGGAATCTTACTACGACCCGACTCCTTGAAACCTTAACCCCAAACCCTTAACCCTAAACCCTAAAATCTTAGCCCCAAACCCTACACCCAAAACCCTAAAGCCTTACCCCTAAAACCTGAACCCTAAACCCTGAACCCTTCCTAACCGTGGAGTGACCTTTAAGCGGTCTCGGGCAGCAGTGCAACTGAGGAGCTGCAGGACAGCCAGCAGCAAAGAAGACTTCCTCGGAGAATTTGGGGCTGAAAGGGCTTTAGGGCTTAAGGCTTAAAGGTTTAGAGGCTTTAGGGCTTAAGGCTTAAAGGTTTAGAGGCTTTAGGGCTTAAGGCTGAAAGGTTTAGAGGCTTTAGGGCTTAAGGCTTAAAGGTTTAAGGTCTTTAGGGCTTAAGGCTGAAAGGTTTAGAGGCTTTAGGGCTTAAGGCTTAAAGGTTCAAGGTCTTTAGGGTTCAGGGCTTCGAGTTTAGGGTTCGGGCATACTTTTGAAAGGCAGGCTGCGCGAACGGCTGCGCAAGCCCCTTTTCATTTCACTGTTCTCCCTTTGGCGGTAAGCGAAACACATGACGGTGATCCCTGATAGTACAGAAATGGAAGATCAAGCAGGCAAGCCTTCGGGTTTTTCGCCCCGAAGCCTGCAACATCAACGGGCTTAGGGCTGGAACAGAGTGATACATGCCTAGATCTATTTTTGCCGTTGGCCCTAATCGAACTGATCGTGCTTTCTGCGAACCACTCAAGGCTGTACCCCTTCGTCTTACTAGTCCTACTCCGACCCTACTCTTACCCTTACTCCTACCACTACTCACTACTCGTCTTCTCCTAATTACTTCTACGCCTTTTGCTCCTACTTGTAGTTCTACTACCACTACCACTACAACCACTACCACTGTGCCTACCCGTCCCACCTGTACCACTCCGTCTTCTTCCAAGCGTCCCTGCGCCTGTTCGACCCACCACAGCTACTGTCTCTCCGGCAGGAAAGTGCAGTGTCACCTGAGCGTGCTTGATGGACTGGATTTCAGGATCACGGGTTAAGCCCAAACTAGGCTCTCAATTGTGGGTTCCGGGTTTTGTCTAAGGTCTAGTCAACATGCTGCTGCAATAGACCCGTCTTGGCACGGCTCCTGACTGCCAGCGCCACATCCCACAACACCCAAGCACCTGAGCCCTCACTGCTACCTCGAGCTCGGCTTCACCGGAAGCCAGGAGTTGCTTCGTGAGCCCCACTTGCTGAGAAGTGTCCCCAGCAAGTGCGGGAGAGAGCGCCGACTGGTACTTCACCACTACGTCGCCTTGGAGTGGGCTGGGGTGGGATTGTAATGCAAACTCATGCGAAACTCTAGGGGTCCAAGCCAGAAATTTCACAGATGCACCAGAAATTCCTGAAACTCTCACAGCTCCTGAAAGTAAAGATTCACCAAAACCCCTAAACCCCCTCTCTACAGCTCTGCCGACCGATTGCGCAGCTCGAGCCCACCATTCCCAGCTCGGGGGGCCAGCGTGTTGCCTTGGCTCTTCTTTTTGTTTCTTGTTGCTGCTGTTAGCTCTTAACATTCATATAGGCTTCAGGGGTTTGGGGCTTGTAGGCAGCGTGCGTACTACTGTTGTCTTTTTTCATCATCACTTAGTGGTGGAACTACTGCGACTGCTACTCACTTTTGTTAACAATTCGCATTACTACTGTGTATAATAAGCTCGTTTCAACTTGGACTTTTCAAGAGGCCATGACGCCAACCAAGGCTTACCAGAATCGCTCAATTTCTAGCAACCCTCGGCCCAAAACTTTAACCTCAGGCCTACGGACTGTTACGGATTCGAAATTTGGAATCGAAGCACAGCCCCAGAACCGAAACCCAAGCCCCAACGGTGCGGACGAAAGCGCCCGTAAGGGCAATGGCCCCGGGAGAGTCGTCCTGGGGCTTCGCATACTCGAAGAGCCGCTCGAGGGAGACCTAGTGCCAAGGCAAGCATCTGCAGGTTTTCGGGTTGCGGGGTTTCCGGGTCCGGAATGCTACGATTGGAGAGAATAATTTACCGCCTCGTGGGGTCTAGAGTCTGGGGCTGTAGTGCCATGATGCAATGACGTGTCTTTCTCGTCCCTTTGCTCCTTCTGGTTCTATTGCTGCTGTTGCCTACTGCTATGCCTACTACTGACTGGTATCACTCTACTACTACGAAGACCTTGATTTGCTCAGCATCGTTCTACCGGTACCAGCACTAGTACCTCTTCTAGTACTGTTGCAAGTACGAGGCGCATGAAAACAACTGTAGCGATAATCGAACTGCGACAATGATGCTACACACAGTGCCATAGTAATCATGTTGCTGATGCAGAAGCAGCTGTTCGAAAGCACCTGTAGTAGCAATTGAATTGTATTTGATGCATAGTCTGAGTCGTCTCCGTCGTCGTGGTGGTCATGGTCGTGGCCGCGGTCTCTGTCGTGGTTGTTGTTGCCGTCATCACGACATTGCTTCTGTAGTTGCACCCTAAACCCTAAACCGGCTGATTTTCGGTTCTTTGACAATCTGCTCCTACAGTGTGGTGAGTCGGGATGAGCATGCAGCCGAGTTCTTGCAGTTTGTGCCGGTCCCCGAAGATCCAAGATCATGGTCGTGCTGCTTCACATCCTACAAACTGAAACTCTATAGTTGAATAGCAATGGCAATACTAGTCGTATTCGCACCAGTACAGTACTAGTACCGTAGCAATGTAGCTCAAAGCGTAGCAGCAACAGCCACAGGGACATCCGCAGTAATGGCAGATAGGAATAGCAACAGTAACAGTGATAGATGGCAGGAACAGAAATAGAAATAGTTCAGCAGCAGCAACAGTAACAGCAGCAGCAGTAGTAGTAGTAGTAGTAGTAGTAGTAGCAGCAGTAGTAGTAGTAGTAGTAGTAGCAGTAGTAGCAATAGTAGTAGTAGTAGTAGTAGTCGTCGTCGTCGTCGTCGTAGTAGCCCATGTGGTAGTGGTGGTAGTAGTGGTAGTAGTGGTGGTATAGCAGAGGAGTGGAGTGGCAATGGCAATCAG